GGAATTCCATCGGGAGCATCCGTTGCCTGTTGGAGGCTGTGGGCTTCCTTAGAGATACGGAGATCCATTTCCCCTTTGGGAATCGCAACCTGAAGGTTCCATCGCCATCGGAACCCGTTGGGATGCTGCTTCCCGTTGGGTTTGTATTGGGATAACGTGGCCATTCCCTTTGGAAAAGCCTCCAACTGCCTCGGGAATGGAAGGGGCTTAGAGCAGAGTGCTCCGGGAAGGAGCCCTTTCCCTTTGGATCGTGGCGCGCGAGCTGAGGGCCGGTGGGCAAATCCAAGGGGGATACGGGATAATGTCATTCCCGACCCTTGGATTCTCCCCCATTCCTGCACGCGTTAACGGTGGATATTTGGGTACGTGAAGCTTTGCTTCACCGGGAGCATCCCCGTGTCCCTCCCAGGGAAGAGCTCCCTCAAATCCCATCCCCATTCCCGTTATCCCGCCCCTCCATCCCTTTCCCAAAGCCCTTTCCCAGCTTCCCGAGAGCCCCTTTGGGAGCTGCTCCTTAAGGAGCCTCCTCCAGCATCGCCTTGGTACCCGCGCCGGGAGCCCCGCATCCCTGCGGCGATGGGGGCCGCATCCCTTCCTTTGCCTTCCTCCCTCTTCCTCCTCTTCCCTCTTCCTCTTCCCTGATCCTGGCGGTGCCGAGGCCTCGGGATGCGCTCTTCGGCTGGGAAGGATTTGGCCACCAAGGGGTTAAAGCCCCGGCTCTCATGAATGAAGCCAAACTTTGGCTGGGGGCCAAGCATGGGGTGGCGGAGATGGAAAATGGGGGGGGGGGGGCTCCTTTTCCATACATCCCAATCCATGACCCCTTCCAAAGAGCCGATCCCAACCCCCCCCCCCCCCCCCCCCCCCCCCCCCATCCTCCCTGCTCCCAAACCGGCTCCGGCTGGCTCTTTTCCCGATTTTTTTTCCCTCTTTTTTTGCCTTCCCCCCCCCCCCCCCCCCGCTTCCCGCGAGGCATGCCGGGAATCCGGGAGAGCATCCCCCCTTTTCTTTTGTTTCCTCCACCAGTCACGGCGCATGATTGGCAGGCGAGTGCCCGCTCGGAGCCGGGCTTGGGATCGGGATCGCTGCCGGGAGGGGGATGGCACGCGGGGCCGCCCCTCATCCCCATCCCAAATCCCTGCCTCTTCCTCCTGCTCTTCCCGAAGGCTCCGCTCTTCCCCTGCCCCTCTTCCCTTGGCTCCTTGATCCTCTTGGCAACTCGAGGAGGCGGCGCCGGGGAGCCCGGACCTGTGAGTATTCCCTTCGGGATGCGCCGCCGGGATCCATCCCATGGGATTTACCAACTCCACGCCGGGCCTCGCTCAACGCTTCCCCCCCCCCCCCCTCGCCTCTTCCCCATCCCAATCCCAATCCCACCCTTCCCACCTCTCCCCATTGGAATTCCTCCCCCCCCCGCCCAACCAGCGCCGCAGGTACCAAAGCAAATCCAAGGAATTCCGTGCTTCCCTTCCCTTCCCAATTAATGGGATGCTGTTAATGACTCCATGAATGATTTTAATGCCCCCCCCATGTGTGTCTATGGCTCCCGGCCAGCGGCGCGCACAAAGGCAGGGCCGCAGTCGAGGGAATCGCGGCGCATTATATAAGGAAGCCTGCGTCATTCCCGGTTGGAATGGGCAGGGGAGGAGGAGGAGGAGGGTGGAGGTGAAGGCTCCGTTCCCCCCCACCTCTTTTTTCTGCCTCCTGTATTCCCGCTGTTCCATTGGTGGGGGGGGGGGAGCGTTTTCCAGCAGCATCTTCCCAATTGCTGGCCAATTCCTTATGGAGCGGGCTATGGATATGTGTGTATGGATCCGTGGATAGATGGATATGGGGGACACGGGCGGTATTCCCGCTGAGGAGCGGCTTTCCCGAGGGTTTATGGAGCAGGGAATGGTGTCCCTGGTGCTGGATGATCCCAGAAGGAAGTTGGCTGAAAGCAAACTTAGGAGAAAAGGGGGGTTGGAAAAACCTGGGAAGAGGCTTTGGAGAAGGGATATAGGGATAGGAGAAGGGGAATGGCTTTAAGCTGCCGGATAGGGGGCCTGAGGCTGAAGTCATTCCCTGTTGAGGGTGATGGGATCCCGGGATGGGACGAAGGGAGCAGGTTTGGATGCCCCATCCCCGGCGGTGCTGGCTGGGGCTTGGAGCATCCTGGTCCAGCTTGAAGCTGCCTTCATCCCACCGCATCCCAAGGTTGGGATCCGGAGGGAAGCAGCTCTTCCCCTGCCCCCTATCCCAAACTCATCCCGGGATGCTCCGCGCCGGCCTCGCCGCTGTTGCCTCCGTCCCTGCATCCCTATGGATGTCGGGGACGTGGCCTTGGCACCCAGCGCCAGCTCTCCCGTGCCATGGGCTCGGCTCTCCCAGCGGGATGTCCCGCCGGGAAGCGGGAAGAGCGGAACTGTTGCTGCTGCTGCAGCCCCGATCCCATTGGAATCCCTCCCGGTTCTCCGCTAAAACACCTCCTTTGTCTCCCATTTATTCCCCTTTCCCTTGGGAAGCTGGGAAAAGCTTCCCCCCCCCCCCACACCCCACCCTGGGTTTAAGGGCTCTCAGCTCTTTCCTCTTTGTTCCAAGCTGGATTTGGGGCTCAGTATTCCTTTAAATCCCTGCTCCGGCCTTACCTGCCTGGCCAGTCCTCCTCCCTGTGGTATTCCCGACAACTTCCAATGGGCAGCATCGGGATGCAAGGAGCAGGAGCCAGGAGGGCGGCTTTGCCTCTGCCTCGGTGCTGGCCCAACCTCTTCTCCGCAGGTGGGAATGTCGGGAATTCCCTGGCTAGGTCCTGATCCAGTCGGGAATGTTGTTTGGGAATGGGAGACAGCCATTTTGTGTGGCTGTGCCGAGACCTTGGCTCCTTTTCCGTGCCAGCTGGAGACACCGGAGCGGCTCCATCCCGTGGGATGCTCGGGATGAGGAGCCCATCCCTAGGGAAGGCGGGCTTCAGCTATGGCTGAGCGCATTGGGATGGCCTCGAGGCTCTGCCGTGGGTTAGGAACGGGCTCCGTGATCCCCTTTGGAATGCTCACGGCTCCGAGTGATCCCGGATTGCGATCCCGGGTTCCTTCCCTGCGATAGGAAGGGAATCATTCCCAATCCCGGTACCCCAGCGGCTGCGTGATGCTGGCGTAGAGTGGCTCCGGTGGGATCAGCTCCCCTTGCGCTTAGGACCTGAGGGATGCCTTGGAAGAGCCAGTTGGGACTCACCGGGATCGCTGGGCTTGGGAAGAGGAGGGCTCCGTCCTTTTCCAAGGCTTTGGAATGCTGCCGGAGATGGCTCCGTCCGGTTGGGCTCGTTGCCCATGGCCCAACCTCTGCACCCCATTCCCGATGGGAGCTCCCGTGCGGCCTCCTCCTGCTCCATAGGGCTCTGCTTGTCCCAGGGAGGGAATTCCCTGCGGCAGCCGCATCCATGGATGCGCAGGGGCCCGATCCTGCAGCGTTCCCGGTGCTCTCCGTAGGGATGCTGGGAGTTAAAGCTGGCCACTGGGAATGGGTGGCTCCGAGTGAGGGGATGCAGATGGGAGCGGGCTCCTGCTTAGGGGCTGGGATACAGGCACGAGGAGGGTTGGATCTATGGGAATGGTGTTGGATGTGGGGATTCGAAGCTCGTTCTTCCCATGCTTCACCTTTAGCTTGGAATCACCTCCAGAGGCGATTCCAGCCTGGATCCGCAGGGATACACCCCGGGCTTCCCTCACGGGATAACGGCAGATCCTTAGGGAATGCCGGCTGCTGGAGGGGGTGAGGCTGGAGGGTCCGGTTTGGGATGAGCCCGGGGCCTCCATCCTTCCCAGTGGGATCCCAGCAGCAGGCTGAGGGATTCCCGAATCCTGGAATGGCGGGGAAGCAACAAGTGGATGCTGCTGGGCTGTTCCCTTGGTGCTTGTTGGCCGAGGCCTTCCTTTCCCACCGGGATATTCCCTGTCTGCGTCCCGGCGCGCTGCTTCCTTCCTTATGGAATGCTATGGGCTGGAAGGGTTCAAGCTGCTCCCATCCAAGCCGTACGGAAGGGATCCATTCGCTTCACACCTCGACACGGAGCTCGTTCCCTCGGGATGAAGCAGCTTCCCGATGGGAATCACCCATGGGGGTTGGGGCTCCCTTTCCCTGCCCTCCTCCTCCTCCTCCTTTCATCTCCCAGGCGCATCCCTGGCATCCCGACCGCAGCCTCTCCCTATCCCGCAGCCCCTTCCCTTCTCCAGCTCCTTGACCCCCCAGCATTCCCTGGGGCTGGAATAGCAGCGGCGCAGGTGGCTCCCGGGCTTGCCCCCGCTTGTCCGGCTCCATTGGGTTGCCGCCGTCGCGCACGTTCCGCTAGGGAAAAGCCGGGGCCGTGCCGAGGGGCTGGGATGGAGTTTTCCTGCTTTTCCATAGGGATTCCCGCAGGCAGCCCTTGGGATGATGCCCTTGTCTCCAGGTTTCCTGTAGCCCCCTTTAGGAGCTGCTCCCAGTGTCCGTCCCCATCCTCCCCTTGCTCTTCCCGTGTTCCCAGGTGGAATTCCCTTGGCTCTTCCCGATGGGTGCAGCCGGAGCAGGGCGATGGGGCTGGGCTCTGCCTCCTGCCTGCTTCTGTCTCCCAGCGGCATTCCCGACCCTGGGAGAGGGAGCAGGGATGGGGAAGGGGGTGCCTCCATCCCGCATTCCTCACCCATGCAAGGGGATGGTCCTTGGGCAGCTCTTGGCATGATCAATCCGGGCCTCGGGTCCCCATCCAAAGGGGAAAAAGCCATGGAATGAAGCCTTTGAGCTTCCCATCTCCCCTTGCCAACGGGCTTAACGCTGTGGTGGCCTCGCCCTGGTGATCCTAAAGGATCCCAAGCCACTTGGGTTGCGCCCAGTGGTGGTTTCTTGCTGCCTCTAGGCTTGTATCCGCCGTTCCCAAGGGAATTTGGGATGCTGGAAGCCTGCGGCCCTTCCTTCCCCTTGCTTTGGGATCCGGGATGCAGTGGGGAGGGGAAGCGGTTGCTCCGTGCCTCCCATTGACGGTGCCCCGTATCCCGCAGGATGGACAGGATGACGGAGGATGCTCTGCGCCTCAACCTGCTCAAGCGGAGCCTGGACCAGGCCGAGGAGCGCGACGACGTCCTGGCCAAGAGGCTGAAGATGGAAGGGCACGAGGCCATGGAGCGCCTCAAGATGCTGGCCCTGCTCAAGAGGAAAGACCTGGCCGGCCTCGACGTCCCCCACGAGCTGGCCGTGAAGCCGGATGCCGGGAAGGGCTACGAGGAAAAGCTCAACGGGAGCCTCCGGCCCCACGGCGACGGCAGGACCGGGGGGAGGCCGGGCAAGGAGAACATCAATGAGGAGCCCGTGGATATGAGCGCCAGGAGGAGGTGGGTGCCCCCTTTCTCTTGCTTTTGAGGGCATCAAATGGACCTTTTTTGGGGGGGGGGGGGGGGCCTTTGGTTGGAGACAGGAGGAGCAGAGTTTGCTATCGGCTGCTGTTGGCTTTGCTGCTTATTCCAGCCCGCATCCGCATGGATTCTGTGGCTCCTGCATCCCTGTGTTGAGCATTGAAAGGTGCAGCCGTAGGGCCGGGTGGGATGGAGCTTGGAGCAATCTGGTCCAAGCTGGAAAGGTCCCTTCATCCCAACGGGAAGGAGCTGCTGGTCCTTCCCATGCAGAGCTGCGCTCTGGATGTAGATGCCGATGTTCCAACCGGGATGGGGGACTGGAAGGGGAAGGATCTCCATGCTCCCTCTGGGTGCTATAGCGAATGTGAGACCCATTGATGCTTCTCTGTCACCCTTTGGCCTATGGAGCATCCTTCATCGGTGCTGTTGTTCTCGAGGGTGTAAGTGTCCTCCTGGGGGGGCATCTGGGTGCACCCAGCACCCTGTGGGTTCACCTGGGTCCTGCTCTGAGGCCATCATGGGGGTGTTGCTCCTCTGGAAAGCACAGTTCTCCCCCAAAACCCAAGGGGTGCCCCAGTGTGGGTGGCACTCAGCCACTTGGCAAAGGGGGTTAAGCTTCTGAGGTGCCAAATGTGGGAGTGATGGCTCTGGGTGTAAGATACTGCACATCCAGTTGGGTACTGGCACATCCAGTTGGGTACCGGCACATCCAGTTGGGTACGAACGCATCCAGTTGGGTACCAGCACATCCAGTTGGGTACTGGCACATCCAGTTGGGTACCAGCACATCCAGTTGGGTACTGGCACATCCAGTTGGGTACCAGCACATCCAGTTGGGTACCGGCACATCCAGTTGGGTACCAGCACATCCAGTTGAGTACCAGCACATCCAGTTGGGTACCGGCACATCCAGTTGGGTACTGGCACATCCAGTTGGGTACTGGCACATCCAGTTGGGTACCGGCACATCCAGTTGTGTACGAACACATCCAGTTGGGTGCTGGCACATCCAGTTGGGTGCTGGCGCATCCAGTTGAGTATTGACACGTCCAGTTGGATACTGGCACATCCAGTTGGGTACCAGCACATCCAGTTGGGTACCAGCACATCCAGTTGGATACCGACACATCCTGTTAGGTACTGGCACATCCAGTTGGATACTGGTACATCCAGTTGGATACTGGCACATCCAGTTGAGTATTGGCACATCCAGTTGGGTACCAGCACATCCAGTTGGGTACCAGCACATCCCGTTGGATACCGGCACATCCCATTGGGTACCGGCGCATCCCATTGGGTACCGGCACATCCAGTTGGGTACCAGCACATCCAGTTGGGTACCAGCACATCCATCCCAATGTGATCCTTTACAACTCCAGGTATCCCTGAGCTGTATCCAAGGATGCTGGAGGAGGAGGAAGCCCCGCTGGGCTCAAGGCTTAGTTGCCTTCCATCCCTCTAACCCAAGAGGTTGGGATGCTGTTCCTCAGTGGAAGCGCATCCCGAGGCTTGGGATTGGTTCTGGCAGGATCCATGTGATCAGCACGTGTTCATCCCATCCAACAGCAGCTTTTCCCCTTGGAAAGCTGAACCGAACCCCCTGGGATGCAGGATGGGTTGTGTGGATGGAGCGGGGCCCACTGGCATCCACAGGATGCTCTGGACCACACCACCTTCTCCTGTGCTCCAGGATGGAGCAGCTGGAAAAGCCTTGGGATCCTGCAGGAATGGGATAGCTGGGGATCACAGTCTGGGGTCAGATGATTCCTCCCTGTTGGTTCGGATGGGGTGGAGCCACGCTGCTGGGGGTGCTTTTCCAGCTGGGATCTCCGTATGGATGAGGTTTGCGGGTGGATGTGGCTGGAATTCCATACAACCGCCTGGGAGATGAAGCCAAGATGCTGGGAGCCACATTCCCACTCTGAGCATCCCATTGCCCTCGGAGCAGCCAAGCCTGGAAGCTTGGCTTCAGCTCCGGGCTTCCTCTTGGAAGCTAAAAGCTTGGGATCGGATCATCCATGGGCCTCCTGCTGCAGCCTCAGGGCAGAGACCTCCCGGTGGTGCTGAGCCCCCATGGGCCTCAGTGCTTCACACTGCCTTAGTGCACAATTCCCAAGGTTTTCCAAGCATTTCCTTCCATTTGGAACAGCAGAAGGCTTTTATTAGTGCCTCCTTCCTCGGAATGGGGTTTGCTTCCCACACCTTCCCCTTCTCCCAGGGCAGGAAACCCCATTCCAACGTGGCTTTTCCCTTCTTCCATCCCGGCTCTGGGTGTCTCTATGGGCATGGAGCACGGTGCCGAGCTCCAGTTCGCATCCCTGGTGACTGGGGGGGGTTATTCCACTCGGGATCCGCTCCTCCTGGCTCCATATTCCCACCTTTATCCTTACACCCCCCCGCAGCGAGCAGGACAGGGGCCGATTGACCCCATCCCCGGACATCATCGTCCTCTCCGACAACGAAGCCTCCAGCCCCCGTTCCAGCTCCCGCATGGAAGAGCGCCTCAAGGCAGCCAACCTGGAGATGTTCAAGGTAGGGAAGAGCCTTGCTTTTCCTGATGGATGCTCCAGCACGGAGCCATTCCACTGCTGGGATTTGGGGGGGGGGGGGACGACGACACCTTTGGGGCATCACCATCCCTGCTGATCCATGGAGGAAAGCATCGTCGCGCTCTTCCCGCTGCCAGGAAGGCGAATGGGATTTGGGATCTCTCCATAGGGGAAGAGCATAGAGGAGAGGCAGCAGCTCATCAAGCAGCTCCGGGATGAGCTGCGGCTCGAGGAGGCCAGGCTGGTGCTGCTGAAGAAGCTGAGGCAAAGCCAGCTGCAGAAGGAGAACGTGGTGCAGAAGGTGAAGCATCCCGTGGGGCTGGGTGAGGACGAGGGGCCTGGCTCCGGGCCTGGAATTGCATCCCTGATGCCGCCTCTCCTTTGCTCCCCACGCAGACTCCCGTGGTGCAGAACGCGGCCTCCATCGTCCAGCCTTCTCCTGCTCACGTGGGACAGCAGGGACTGTCCAAGCTGCCCTCCAGGCCTGGAGCTCAGGGGGTTGAGCCTCAGAACCTAAGGACATTACAGGTGAGAATTCCCAACATCCCTTCCCTATGGAGGCGCCGGCTCCAAGGGGTTCCCAGCACCGTGAGCCTGGTGACGCACGCTTGGGCTGGGAAGTTCCCTCTTACCTAAGAGGAATCACGGAATCAATCATCCCCCTTTTCCTGCCCCTCCATCCCTTCTCCGAGGCCCCTTCCCAGGTTTCCCTTCAGGAGCCTCCTCCAGGCTCAGCCATCCCCACGGAGCAGCTCATGGATGCGCATGGGGATGGATGGAGGCCGGTCCAGGTGATGCCCTGGCTTGTGTGATGTGGAAGGAGCTGCCTTGGGATCTGTCCCATTTGGGAATGCCGCCTCTGGGGCTCTTTATGGGGCTTTGGGATACTTCGAGTGTTCCATGAGCTCCGGGAACGGGCTTTATCCCTTCTTGCCTCCACGTTGGAATGGGGATGCGGGATGCAGCGCATCCCCCTGCCTCCTGCTCCTTCCTTCCTTCCCTCCCGGCATTCCCAATTCCCTTTGTTTGGGATGTGTGTTGGCTTTGCTATGGCAACGAGCCGGGCTCAGGCCCGTTGTGGGATGGGGCTGCTGAAGGAAGCTCCTTGTTTGCCCTGGCTTTGGGAGCCTTTCCTTTGGGATGCAGCATCCCGGGAAGCAGCTGAAGGGCACGGGGAGGAAGAGGCTGCCAGGCAGGAGGTGCTTCCATGAGGGGATTGAGCTGTCGGATCTCTCTGTTCCCATTGGAGCCATTGGGAGAAGCCTCTGCTCCGGGGCTTCCCGATCCCAGGGTGATGGTTGGGATTGCCTGGGATCGAGGTGTGAAACAGGCCCCTGCATTCCTGCCCCAACGAGCTCCCTTCCCTGGGAGCAGCCCTCTTAGAACCATTCCATGTGGAGCTCCAGCAGCGGTGTGAATCCCGGCTGGAAGAGCTCCGTGCTCCTCAATCCCATTTTTCCCTTCTCGTTTCTCCATATGGATTAACCCAGGATCACAGGAGCATGGAATTGGATTGAAGGGAGCTTAAAGCTCATCCAGATCCACCCCCCTCCCCAGCTTGCTCCAAGCCCCATCCAGCCTGGCCCTGAGCACTGCCAGGATGTGGGGCTTGGCAACAACTTCCAAGCCATCCCATCCCAGATCCTGGAAGTCCCTGGCTCATGGGAAGCAGTTGCTCCATGAGGATTCCCACCCCTTCCCTTGACTCAGAAACCAGGGATATGTGACCACGAGGCTTTGGCCCTCCGGGTCATCAAGGAGCACGGAGTTCCTGGAGCAGCATTCCCGGGAATTGCCGAGGAACGGGAATGCCCTCGGGCCTTGCCTCTCCCCCCAGGGTCACAGCGTCATCCGCTCGGCCAGCACCACCACCCTGCCCCACATGCTCATGTCCCAGCGCGTGATCGCTCCCAGCCCTGCCCAGCTCCAGGGCCAGAGGGGGCCTCCCAAACCCGGCCTCATCCGGACCACGACGCCCAGCATGAATCCAGCCATCAACTACCAGCCAGTAAGGTCCCATCCGGCCCTTCCGGTGGGAATGGGGAGAGCGCCCATCGCTCGGCGTGGAGGTGGAGGGAGGACACATGCCAAGTGGAGGGGATGGATGGGCTTGAAATGATGGGGAATCATGGAATGAGTTGGGTTGGGAAGGATGGGCTTGAAATGATGGGGAATCATGGAATGGGTTGGAAAGGATGGGCTTGAAATGATGGGGAATCATGGAATGGGTTGGGTTGGAAAGGATGGACTTGAAATGATGGGGAATCATGGAATGGGTTGGGAAGGATGGGCTTGAAATGATGGGGAATCATGGAATGGGTTGGGTTGGAAAGGATGGGCTTGAAATGATGGGGAATCATGGAATGAGTTGGGTTGGGAAGGATGGGCTTGAAATGATGGGGAATCATGGAATGAGTTGGGTTGGGAAGGATGGGCTTGAAATGATGGGGAATCATGGAATGAGTTGGGTTGGGAAGGATGGGCTTGAAATGATGGGGAATCATGGAATGGGTTGGGAAGGATGGGTTTGAACTGATGGGGAATCCTGGAATGGGTTGGGTTGGGAAGGATGGGCTTGAAATGATGGGGAATCATGGAATGGGTTGGGTTGGGAAGGATGGGCTTGAAATGATGGGGAATCCTGGAATGGGTTGGGAAGGATGGGCTTGAAATGATGGGGAATCATGGAATGGGTTGGGTTGGAAAGGATGGGCTTGAAATGATGGGGAATCATGGAATGGGTTGGGTTGGGAAGGATGGGCTTGAAATGATGGGGAATCCTGGAATGGGTTGGGTTGGAAAGGATGGTCTTGAAATGATGGGGAATCCTGGAATGGGTTGGGAAGGATGGGCTTGAAATGATGGGGAATCATGGAATGGGTTGGGTTGGAAAGGATGGGCTTGAAATGATGGGGAATCCTGGAATGGGTTGGGTTGGGAAGGATGGGCTTGAAATGATGAGGAATCATGGAATGGGTTGGAAAGGATGGGCTTGAAATGATGGGGAATCATGGAATGGGTTGGGAAGGATGGGTTTGAACTGATGGGGAATCCTGGAATGGGTTGGGTTGGGAAGGATGGGCTTGAAATGATGGGGAATCATGGAATGGGTTGGGTTGGGAAGGATGGGCTTGAAATGATGGGGAATCCTGGAATGGGTTGGGTTGGGAAGGATGGGCTTGAAATGATGGGGAATCATGGAATGGGTTGGGAAGGATGGGCTTGAAATGATGGGGAATCATGGAATGGGTTGGGAAGGATGGGCTTGAAATGATGGGGAATCATGGAATGGGTTGGGTTGGAAAGGATGGGCTTGAAATGATGGGGAATCATGGAATGGGTTGGGTTGGGAAGGATGGGCTTGAAATGATGGGGAATCATGGAATGGGTTGGGTTGGGAAGGATGGGCTTGAAATGATGGGGAATCATGGAATGGGTTGGGTTGGGAAGGATGGGCTTGAAATGATGGGGAATCCTGGAATGGGTTGGGTTGGAAAGGATGGGCTTGAAATGATGGGGAATCATGGAATGGGTTGGAAAGGATGGGCTTGAAATGATGGGGAATCATGGAATGGGTTGGGAAGGATGGGCTTGAAATGATGGGGAATCATGGAATGGGTTGGGTTGGAAAGGATGGACTTGAACTGATGGGGAATCATGGAATGGGTTGGGAAGGATGGGTTTGAACTGATGGGGAATCCTGGAATGGGTTGGGTTGGAAAGGATGGGCTTGAAATGATGGGGAATCATGGAATGGGTTGGGTTGGAAAGGATGGACTTGAAATGATGGGGAATCATGGAATGGGTTGGGAAGGATGGGCTTGAAATGATGGGGAATCATGGAATGGGTTGGGAAGGATGGGCTTGAAATGATGGGGAATCCTGGAATGGGTTGGAAAGGATGGACTTGAAATGATGGGGAATCATGGAATGGGTTGGGTTGGAAAGGATGGGTTTGAAATGATGGGGAATCATGGAATGGGTCGGGTTGGGAAGGATGGGCTTGAAATGATGGGGAATCATGGAATGGGTTGAGTTGGAAAGGATGGTCTTGAAATGATGGGGAATCATGGAATGGGTCGGGTTGGGAAGGATGGGCTTGAAATGATGGGGAATCATGGAATGGGTTGGGAAGGATGGGCTTGAAATGATGGGGAATCCTGGAATGGGTTGGGAAGGATGGGCTTGAAATGATGGGGAATCATGGAATGGGTTGGAAAGGATGGGCTTGAAATGATGGGGAATCATGGAATGGGTTGGGTTGGAAAGGATGGGCTTGACCTGATAGGGAATCCTGGAATGGGTTGGGTTGGGAAGGATGGGCTTGAAATGATGGGGAATCATGGAATGGGTTGGGTTGGAAAGGATGGGCTTGACCTGATAGGGAATCCTGGAATGGGTTGGGTTGGAAAGGAGCCTCAAGCTCATCCCAACCCCTTGTCCAAGCCCCTCTCCAGGTGGTTTTAGGGCCTGGGAGATGCTCTAAGGATCAGCCCGGCGCTGAGATCTCCTCCAATCTCAGCATTCCAATAGAGACAAGCGGGGTTATCCTCCCCGTGTTATTCCCAATCCTTCCCAGCCCCACACATCCCGGGCGCCGCCGGGAACGGGCCAGGAGGGAATTGTCCCCGTTGGGAACGCCAATGGGCTGGGAGGGGACGCGCCCTGCGAGCAGCCCTGCTCCGGGCATGGGATTCCAGAGGCCTGGAGCTCCTGGGCACCGCTTTGGGAGGGGATCCCCATCCTGAGCTCCCCTTCCTCTTCCTCGCCAGCAATCCAGCTCGTCCGTGCCGTGCCAGCGGAGCTCCTCCTCGGCCATCTACATGAACCTCGCCTCCCACCTCCCGCCCGGCTCCGTGGCCAGGGTCTCCTCTCCCCTTCCCAGCCCCAGCGCTTTGTCCGACGCCGCCAATTCCCAAGCCGCTGCCAAGCTGGCCCTACGGAAGCAGCTGGAAAAGACCCTGCTGGAGATCCCCCCCCCAAAACCCCCCGCTCCCCTCCTGCATTTCCTACCCAGCGCCGCCAACAGCGAGTTCATCTACATGGTGGGGCTGGAGGAGGTGGTGCAGAGCGTCATCGACAGCCAAGGTGAGCGCCCGGGGTGCTGCCATCCCATCGCATCCCATCCCATCCCATCCCATCCCATCGCATCCCATCCCATCCCATCGCATCCCATCGCATCCCATCCCATCGCATCCCATCGCATCCCATCCCATCCCATCGCATCCCATCCCATCGCATCCCATCCCATCCCATCGCATCCCATCCCATCCCATCCCATCCCATCCCATCCCATCCCATCCCATCGCATCCCATCCCATCCCATCCCATCGCATCCCATCCCATCCCATCCCATCCCATCGCATCCCATCCCATCCCATTGCATCCCATCCCATCGCATCCCATCCCATCCCATCCCATCCCATCCCATCCCATCCCATCCCATCGCATCCCATCCCATCGCATCCCATCCCATCGCATCCCATCCCATCCCATCGCATCCCATCCCATCGCATCCCATCCCATCGCATCCCATCCCATCCCATCCCATCCCATCCCATCCCATCCCATCCCATCGCATCCCATCCCATCGCATCCCATCCCATCCCATCGCATCCCATCCCATCGCATCCCATCCCATCCCATCCCATCGCATCCCATCCCATCCCATCCCATCGCATCCCATCGCATCCCCTCCCATTCCATCGCATCCCATCGCATCCCATCCCATCCCATCCCATCCCATCCCATCGCATCCCATCGCATCCCATCCCATCCCATCGCATCCCATCCCATCCCATCCCATCGCATCCCATCCCATCCCATCCCATCGCATCCCATCCCATCCCATCGCATCCCATCCCATCCCATCCCATCCCATCCCATCGCATCCCATCGCATCCCCTCCCATTCCATCGCATCCCATCCCATCCCATCCCATCCCATCCCATCCCATCCCATCGCATCCCATCCCATCCCATCCCATCCCCTAGGGAGTCGATGGGAAAGCCCCACATGGGTGCTTTGGGAGAGCTCTGCTCCTTCCTGCTTGGCTGCCTGCAACGGGAGGAGGGCAGAACCTGGCCCCCCCAAGCCCAACCCCAAGCAGTAGGAGCCGGTTTGGCGGCCTTGGTGTGCCAAGGTCCTGGAATAGCCTTGGAATTGCTCTGGAGCAGCGGAGTCTGTGCCCTGGGAGCTCCCATCCCCGTGGTTCCGGCTCCCATCCCTTTGGGATGCCCCGTGGAGGTGGATGGGATTGAGGCGGTGCTCTGGCAGTGCAGCCCTATGGGGCTGCGGCCGTGGCCCTTCCAGCTTTTCCTAAGCCAAGCCCCATCAGGTTGAGGGGAAACCTTGTCCTGTTTCTCCCTTGGGATAGCCGGGATCATGCCGGCAGCACCATCCCGGAATTCCCTTGCTGCATCCTTCCCATCCTCTCTGCCAGTGCCTGGGATGGAGTCAGCACCATCCCGGAATTCCCTTGCTGGATCCTTCCCATCCTCTCTGCCTTCCCCTGGGATGGAGGCAGCACCATCCCGGAATTCCCTTGCTGGATCCTTCCCATCCTCTCTGCCTTCACATGGGATGGAGGCAGCACCATCCCGGAATTCCCTTGCTGGATCCTTCCCATCCTCTCTGCCAGTGCCTGGGATGGAGGCAGCACCATCCCAGAATTCCCTTGCTGGATCCTTCCCATCCTCTCTGCCTTCACATGGGATGGAGGCAGCACCATCCCGGAATTCCCTTGCTGGATCCTTCCCATCCTCTCTGCCTTCACATGGGATGGAGTCAGCACCATCCCGGAATTCCTTCCTGGATCCTTCCCATCCTCTCTGCCTTCACATGGGATGGAGGCAGCACCATCCCGGAATTCCCTTCCTGGATCCTTCCCATCCTCTCTGCCTTCACATGGGATGGAGTCAGCACCATCCCGGAATTCCCTTGCTGGATCCTTCCCATCCTCTCTGCCAGCACATGGGATGGAGTCATCACCATCCCGGAATTCCCTTGCTGGATCCTTCCCATCCTCTCTGCGTTCCCCTGGGATGGAGTCAGCACCATCCCGGAATTCCCTTGCTGGATCCTTCCCATCCTCTCTGCCTTCCCCTGGGATGGAGTCATCACCATCCCGGAATTCCCTTGCTGGATCCTTCCCATCCTCTCTGCGTTCCCCTGGGATGGAGTCAGCACCATCCCGGAATTCCCTTGCTGGATCCTTCCCATCCTCTCTGCCTTCCCCTGGGATGGAGTCAGCACCATCCCGGAATTCCCTTGCTGGATCCTTCCCATCCTCTCTGCCTTCACATGGGATGGAGGCAGCACCATCCCGGAATTCCCTTGCTGGATCCTTCCCATCCTCTCTGCCAGTGCCTGGGATGGAGGCAGCACCATCCCGGAATTCCCTTCCTGGATCCTTCCCATCCTCTCTGCCAGTGCCTGGGATGGAGTCAGCACCATCCCGGAATTCCCTTCCTGGATCCTTCCCATCCTCTCTGCCAGCACATGGGATGGAGTCAGCACCATCCCGGAATTCCCTTCCTGGATCCTTCCCATCCTCTCTGCCTTCCCCTGGGATGGAGGCAGCACCATCCCGGAATTCCCTTGCTGGATCCTTCCCATCCTCTCTGCCTTCCCCTGGGATGGAGTCAGCGACACCAGGGCTGGTTGGGGGTGGACCCCTTGCTTCTCCTCCCGTTTCCCCCTCCTCCCTTGCCCCATTCCCATCCTGTTTTGTGGCATTCCCTAGGGAAAAGCTGCTCCTCCCTGCTGCGCGTGGAGCCCTTCGTGTGCGCCCAGTGCCGCACGGACTTCACCCCGCACTGGAAGCAGGAGAAGAACGGGAAGATCCTGTGCGAGCAGTGCATGACGTCCAACCAGAAGAAGGCCCTGAAGGCCGAGCACACCAACAGGCTCAAGAACGCCTTCGTCAAGGCCCTGCAGCAGGAGCAGGCGAGTGCACGGATCCCCTTTGGGAGCTCGGCATTCCCAAGCTTTGGAGCTGCCGGGTTGCCGTCCCGTTGCGTGGGTTTGGGAGCGTCGGAGAGGTTGCTCCTTTTGCCGCCTTCCTTTCCCTGCTTCCCCTTTTGGCTGTGCTGGAAGTGGCTCAAGCACTCGTTTGGGTGTGGAAAGAGGGAATTCTGCACATTCCCGGGATAAATCGGGGCTGGGATGTCCTTTAGAGGCCATGGGGGGGGGAGGGAATAACCCAGCCTCATCCCGTGTAGAGGGAAGCCACTTGATGCGCCGCGGGATCCGTTTGGGATGCGTCCGATGGGGAAGGAGGAGCCTTTGGGGCGTGGGGGTGGGAAGGGGGGGGCTGTGGGTGCTGAGGGGGGTGCTGGGTGCTGAGGGGGTGCTGGGTGCTGAGGGGGTGCTGGGTGCTGAGGGGGGTGCTGGGTGCTGAGGGGGTGCTGGGTGCTGAGGGGGTGCTGGGTGCTGAGGGGGGTGCTGGGTGCTGAGGGGGTGCTGGGTGCTGAGGGGGTGCTGGGTGCTGAGGGGGGTGCTGGGTGCTGAGGGGGTGCTGGGTGCTGAGGGGGGTGCTGGGTGCTGAGGGGGTGCTGGGTGCTGAGGGGGGTGCTGGGTGCTGAGGGGGTGCTGGGTGCTGAGGGGGGTGCTGGGTGCTGAGGGGGGTGCTGGGTGCTGAGGGGGGTGCTGGGTGCTGAGGGGGTGCTGGGTGCTGAGGGGGTGCTGGGTGCTGAGGGGGTGCTGGGTGCTGAGGGGGGTGCTGGGTGCTGAGGGGGTGCTGGTCCCGTGGCGCAGGAGATCGAGCAGAGGCTGCAGCAGCAGGCGGCCCTGTCCCCCACCGCGGCGCCCGCCGGCTCCGGCGTCAGCAAACAGGAGAACATCCTGAGGCACCACACGCTCCGGCAGGTCGGGATGGGGTGGGATGGATGGGATGGGATGGGATGAGAATTGGATGGGATGGGATGAATAGGATGGGATGGGGTGGGATGGGATGGATGGGATGGGATGGGATGAGAATTGGATGGGATGGGATGAATAGGATGGGATGGGGTGGGATGGGATGGATGGGGTGAGAATTGGATGGGATGGGATGAATGGGATGGGATGGGGTGGGATGGGATGGGTTGGGGTGGAATGGGATGGAATAGGATGGGATGGATTGGATGGGATGGGATGGAACAGGATGGGATGGATTGGATGCTATGGAATAGGATGGGATGGATTGGATGGGATGGGGATGGGATGAATTGGATGGGATGGGATGGAACAGGATGGGATGGGATTGGATGCTATGGAATAGGATGGGATGGATTGGATGGGATGGGGATGGGATGAATTGGATGGGATGGGATGCAGATTGGATGGGATGGAATAGGATGGGATGGGATAGGATGGGATGGGATAGGATGGGATGGGATGGGATGGGATGGATGGGATGAGATGGGATGGGATGAGAATTGGATGGGATGAATGAGATGGGATGGGGTGGGATGAATGGGATGGGATGGGATGGGATGAGAATTGGATGGGATGGGATGGGGTGGGATGAATGGGATGGGATGGGATGGGATGGGATAGATGGGATGGGATGAGAATTGGATGGGATGGAATAGGATGGAATGGATTAGATGGGATGGGGGGGATGGGATGGATGGGATGGGGATTGCATGGGATGGGATGGGATGGATGGGATGGGATGAATTGGATGGGATGGGATGCAGATTGAATGGGATGGATGGGATCGAATAGGATGGGATGGAATTGGATGGAGTGGGATTGATGGGATGGGATGGGATGGATGGGATGGGGATTGGATGGGATGGGATCAGGTGAATTGGATGGGATCAGATGAGATGGGATGGAATATGATGGGATGGGATGGAACTGGATGGGATGGGATGGATGGAATGGGGATTGGATGGGATAGATGGGATGGGAATTGGATGGGATGGAATATGATGGGATGGGATGGAACTGGATGGGATGGGATGGATGGAATGGGGATTGGATGGGATAGATGGGATGGGAATTGGATGGGATGGGATCAGGTGAATTGGATGGGATCAGATGAGATGGGATGGAATATGATGGGATGGGATGGAACTGGATGGGATGGGATGGATGGAATGGGGATTGGATGGGATAGATGGGATGGGAATTGGATGGGATGGGATCAGGTGAATTGGATGGGATCAGATGAGATGGGATGGAATATGATGGGATGGGATGGAACTGGATGGGATGGGATGGATGGAATGGGGATTGGATGGGATAGATGGGATGGGAATTGGATGGGATGGGATCAGGTGAATTGGGTGGGATCAGATGAGATGGGATGGAATATGATGGGATGGGATGGAAGAGGATGGGGTGGGCTTTCCCAACCTCCATGCCCTGAGCTCCTGAGGAGGAGGGAGCTGTGAGCACCCCGCTGCTCTCGCAGCATCCCTGCCGTCTGGGCTCCCTTCTTCCTGGGATTGCCCTTATCCCGAGCCCCCTGCATCCCGATAGCTCGTGGCTGCTGTCGGGCCCCTCTCCCGGCCCTTTCCCTCTGGATCCCATGCCATCCAACATGGGAATCAGAGCCCTGAGGAGCCATCCACAGACTCTTGCCGTGTACCCACGGCTGCCGCTTCCGGAGCGATCCCGGCTCCCTCCCTCCATCCGCATCCTCGTCTCCCCGCAGGCTCCGCAGCCCCAGAGCTCTTTGCAGCGTGGAATTCCCACCTCCGCCCGCTCCATGCTCTCCAACTTCGCGCAGGCGCCGCAGCTCTCCGTGGCGGGCGGGCTCCTGGGCATGCCAGGTGAGAGCCCGCCTGCCGGCTTCCCAGCCCGAAGGGATGGGGTGGGATGGGGTTGGGATGGGGTGGGGTTGGATGGGGTTGGATGGGGTTGGATGGGGATGGGATGGGGTTGGATGGGGAGCGGGATGGGGTTGGATGGGGAGCAGGATGGGGTTGGATGGGGTGGGATGGGGTTGGATGGGCAGCGGGATGGGGTTGGGTGGGGTGGGATGGGGTTGGATGGGGAGCGGGATGGGGTTGGATGGGGTGGGGTTGGATGGGGATGGGATGGGGTTGGATGGGGAACGGGATGGGGTTGGATGGGGAACGGGATGGGGTTGGATGGGGTGGGATGGGGTTGGATGGGGTGGGATGGGGTTGGATGGGGATGGGATGGGGTTGGATGGGGAGCGGGATGGGGTTGGATGGGGAGCGGGATGGGGTTGGATGGGGTTTGGATGGGGAACGGGATGGGGTTTGGTAGGGAACGGGATGGGGTTGGATGGGGAGCAGGATGGGGTTGGATGGGGTGGGATGGGGTTGGATGGGGAGCAGGATGGGGTTGGATGGGGTGGGATGGGGTTGGATGGGGATGGGATGGGGTTGGATGGGGAGCGGGATGGGGTTGGATGGGGTTTGGATGGGGAACGGGATGGGGTTGGATGGGGAGCAGGATGGGGTCGGATGGGCAGCGGGATGGGGTTGGATGGGGATGGGATGGGGTTGGATGGGCAGCGGGATGGGGTTGGATGGGGATGGGACGGGGTTGGATGGGGAGCGGGATGGGGTGGGATGGGGAACGGGATGGGGTTGGGTGGGCAGCGGGATGGGGTTGGGTGGGGATGGGATAGGGTTGGACGGGGATGGGATGAGGTTGGATGGGCAGCGGGATGGGGTGGGATGGGGAGCGGGATGGGGTTGGACAGGGATGGGATGGGGTTGGATGGGCAGCGGGATGGGGAGCGGGATGGGGTTGGACAGGGATGGGATGGGGTTGGATGGGGAGCGGGATGGGGGTGGGTTGATTCCGAGGGAGAGGGGTTCGGCGGCACCGTGGGATCGGGGTATTCCCATTATCCCCCATAGTGGAACCTGTGGGTTTCATAGGGTGGGTTTAGGTTCAGTTCCCGCTTCCCAGCTAAAAGCTGGGATGGATGGGATTGTATGGGATGGAATAGGATGGGATAGGATGGGATGGATGAGATGGAACAGGATGGGATGGGATGGATGAGATGGAATAGGATGGGATGGATGAGACAGAATGGAATGAAATGAGATGGAATAGGATGGGATGGATGAGACAGAATGGAATGGGATGAGATGGAACAAGATGGTATGGGATGGATGAGATGGAATAGGATGGGATGGAGTAGGATGGGATGGGATGAGTGGGATGGATGGGATGGAATGGGATGGAATAGGATGGAATGGATGAGATGGAGTAGGATGGGATGGTATGAGTGGGATGGATGGGATGGAATGGGATGGAATAGGATGGGATGGATGAGATGGAGTAGGATGGGATGGAGTAGGATGGGATGGTATGAGTGGGATGGATGGGATGGAATAGGATGGGATAGATGAGATGGAATAGGATGTCATGGGATGGAAGGGGATGGGATGGAATAGGATGAGTTGGAATGGGATGGGATGGATGGGGTGGATGGATGGGATGGATGGGATGAGATGGAATAGGAATGAATGAATGGTGTAGGATGGGATGCATGAGATGGAATAGGATGGGATGAGATGGAATAGGATGGGATGGGATGGGGTGAGATGGAATAGGATGGGATGGAACAGGATGGGATGGATGGGGTGGAATAGGATGGGATGAGATGGAATAGGAAGGGATGGAACAGGATGGGATGGGATGGAACAGGATGGGATGGATGGGATGAGATGGAATAGGATGGGATGGAACAGGATGGGATGGGATGGATAGGATGGGATGGAATAGGATGGGATGGAACAGGATGGGATGGGATGGATGGGATGGGATGGAACAGGATGGGATGGGATGGAACAGGATGGGATGGGATGGAACAGGATGGGATGGAACAGGATGGGATGGGATGGAACAGGATGGGATGGAACAGGATGGGATGGGATGGATGGGATGGGATGGAACAGGATGGGATGGAACGGGATGGGATGGAACAGGATGGGATGGGATGGATGGGATGGGATGGAACAGGATGGGATGGGATGGATGGGATGGGATGGAACAGGATGGGATGGGATGGAACAGGATGGGATGGAACAGGATGGGATGGGATGGGATGGATGGGATGGGATGGAACAGGATGGGATGGAACAGGATGGGATGGGATGGAACAGGATGGGATGGGATGGAACAGGATGGGATGCGTCCTGGCTCAGTCCCCCCAAGCAGTGCTGCTTTTCCTTGGGTGCTGCACCCCGTTCGGTGTCCTCCATGGCAGGGGACGGAGCCGCTGCCCCCCCGTGCTCCCTTCCTCCCACCCCATCACCCCCTCGATGTCCCCGTCCCCCCCTCCCAGGTGTGAACATCGCCTACCTGAACGCCGGCATCGGAGGCCACAAAGCATCCAGCCTGGCGGACCGGCAGCGGGAATACCTCCTGGATATGATCCCGCCTCGCTCTATATCCCAGTCCATCAGCGGACAGAAATAACCCCTGCTGAGCAGAGCAGCCCCCTCGACCCCGCTCCCGTCGCATGCAGTGCCTGTGCTGGTGCCTACCGTCCCCGGGGGAAAGCAAAGCCAGAAACCCACAGCAAGAGAGGAACCCAGCCCAGCCCACCCCACTTTTCCCACCCTCCGGCATCCTTCTCCTTTCCTCCAGCCCTTTTCCACGTGGGAAGCGAGGGGCCGCTTCCTTTGCCCGAGGTCTGCTTGAGGTCAGCACTCGCCGTGTGTGTTCCAGCTTGGGTGATGCTGTTTTTTGTAATGACAAAGCCTAGAGTTTGGAATTGTATCGTGGGGTTCTTTTTTTTTGGGGGGGGGGGGGGGGTTGATTTTCCTGACTTTTTTTTTTTGTCTTTTTTCCCGATTTTTTTTTTTTTTTTTGGGGATCTGTTTCCCACCCCCCCTCCCCTTTTCCTTCCTCTTTTTTTTCGTGCTCTGCTTCTCTTTTTGCCACAGACTTTGGCCCAGGGGCAGCAGTGAAGCCCCTTCTCTTTTACTGTGCACGGGCAGCAGCCTGGTGCTGACTTATGGTTGGGGGGGGGGGAAACGTGGGGACCAGGGGCCACCAGCACCCATGGGTGGGTGCTGGGGGTGCTGCACCCTTGCCTTGGCGAGAAGAAAGGCAGGAGCCTCCCATCCCAGCCCTTCCCATGGAGGCAGGGAGCCCGCTGGGGGTCCGTGGATGGTGCTGGGGACCCCGGTTGGCCAAGGCAAGGAGCCCGCTTTGGGGTGCGGAGGGTGCTGAGGCCACCCATGAGCAGACTTGGGCACGGTGAGTCCCCGTCCTCGGCCCTTCCGCGCTTCGTGCATGCTCCGGAGCTGCTGTCCGGACGATGGGAATGGCACCGGGGCGATGGGAATGGTACCCAGGGGATGGGAATGGGATCCAAGTGATGGGAATGGCACCCAGGGGATGGGAATGGTCCCCAAGTGATGGGAATGGTATCCAAGTGATGGGAATGGCACCCAGGGGATGGGAATGGCACCCGAGCGATGGGAATGGTATCCAAGTGATGGGAATGGCACCCAGGTGATGGGAATGGTCCCCAAGTGATGGGAATGGTATCAAAGTGATGGGAATGGTACCCAGGTGATGGGAATGCCACCCGAGTGATGGGAATGGTACCCAAGTGATGCGTATGGCACCAGGGCGATGGGAATGGCACCCAGGTGATGGGAATGGTACCCAGGTGATGGGAATGCCACCCGAGTGATGGGAATGGTACCCAGGTGATGGGAATGCCACCTGAGTGATGGGAATGGTACCCAGGTGATGGGAATGCCACCCGAGTGATGGGAATGGTACCCAGGTGAAGCATATGGCACCGGGGCGATGGGAATGGTACCCAGGGGATGGAAATGGTCCCCAAGTGATGGGAATGGTATCCAGGTGATGGGAATGGTACCCAAGCGATGGGAATGGTCCCCAGGTGATGGGAATGGTCCCCAGGTGATGGGAGTGGTACCCAAGCGATGCGAATTGGTACCCAAGCGATGCGAATTGGCACCCAAGTGATGCAAATGGCACCCAAGTGATGGGAATGGTACCCAAGCGGTGGGAATGGCACTGGGGCGATGGGAATGGCACCCGGATGATGGGAATGGCACCGGGGCTCCGGTTAACGAACCCAAAGCAAGAAAAGTCGTCTGAGAAACGCTCTATTTGCACTTAAACCTTCACACTAATGGGCCCTTCCCTCCTCCTCCTCCTCTTATCCCTCTTCCTCCTCCTCGCAGACACAGCCCTTGCCAGTGGAATTCGCTGCCGGAGCAACCCCGGCCCCACATCCCATCCCCATTCCCATCCCATCCCCATCCCATCCCATCCCCATCCCATCCCCATCCCATCCCATCCCATCCCCATCCCATCCCATCCCATCCCCGTTCCCACCTGAGGGTTTTTGCTCCTCCCTGCGAGTTTCCTGCCTTGTTTTTAAGGAATTTTAAGGAATTCCCCCCCCCCCCCCCTTTTTTTTTTGAGCCCGGATTCTTGACGATCCATTGTTATTCCCAACAGGAGAATCTCGTGCAATCTCAGCTCACCCCTTTGCTTGATGGCCAAGGGGGGGGGGGGGGGAAATGGGACCCCCAAAACCAACCCCCCCCCCCAAAGCCTGGGGACCAGGCACCCTTCCTTCCCCCCCTTTATGGGTGGGGGGTCCCCCACCAGCAGCCCCTCA